ACATATGTGTGAATTATGTATTACGATGAGAGAAGTGAATCACTCTCCAAAGAGAGTAATATAATGTGTGAACTGTGTGATTAAACCAAATGTATAATGGATGCGTGTTAAACCACAATCCTATACACAGTAGAAAAAATAATTGAATAAATAAATGTCAAGTCACTGGTGTTAACTTATATATAGAAACATTTATATTATATTCCATTTATTTTTCTATATATAAGTTAACACTTGTGACTTGACATTTATTCACTTATTTGTTCTACTGTGTATAGGATTGTGGTTTAACACACATCCATTATACATTTGGTTTAATCACACAGTTCACACATTATATTACTCTTTGGAGAGCGATTCACTTCTCTCATTGTTATACATCATTCACACATATGTATATCACTTATTGGCACGTCGTACAGAGAAGACACCAACACATCTAATATATCTTTATTTATTGTTTTTGCACACACACTGGTTTCTGTCAATTACACCGTGAGGCTTATAGCGCTACACTATTGATCAATTAACCTTTGAGGCTTTCAAGCCTGAGTTTCAGCAGCTTGCAGTTAGTCCGGTTTTTCTTCTTTCACTTCCTTTTTTTCAATAGCGCAGAATATTTGTCTCTTCATCTAATTAAATTGTAGATTCTAATCCACAATCACTCAGCTACAGGACATGACCACCAGATATGTACCATTGTAACAGGGGAGGAGCAACCACAGAAACAGAGCAGAGAATAACCATGAACAAAGCTAGCTAAAATGTACCGGACTGCAATACCAGTGGTAGAAGACCTTATACAAATTCTACAAGATCAAAACATTGCTGGAACCTCTTGCCATCGTTAACCAAATCTCCTGCCAATCATCTTGTGAGAGACAGATTAAGTTCCTCCTCCTACTGGGACTGATACATCTGGGTGGTTACACTGACAGCAGAAATTAGGGAAGAGTAGATAAGCAATATCAACCAAGGGCCCCAGGGATCAGACCGACATTTGCGCTCAAAAAGTTTTAAAGGAATGAGGGCGGTGAATGAGGTCGGAGCGATCCAAGTATAAAATGCCACAACTGCATCTAACGTGATGTTACCGTAACAGAATAGAATTCTCTAAGGGATTGGAACTACCTAATGCTGTGTACTGTAAGTAATGAATAAACATCACAAAAGAGATGGGTATTCCACCAATAAAACTGATGTGGAGCTTCTCAAAGATATGGAGAAATAAATTAGCCTGAATATTTAATGGAGTCCCATAGCTGCAGAGTATAAATTATGGCTGACCCTAAGGATTTGGGGCAAAGAGGAAGAGACCCATGGTAAAAAGAGGGTAAAGGAAGATGGTGACAGTTCAGTAAATCCAGCGAAGCCCACGAATGCAAATTGGTGATATCATGTAGGTGAGGCAAAGGTGCAATATTTGCCAGCAGGTAATATTTCTGAAGGTCAGGGACACCCAGGCCACCCTGACATTTTGGAGTGAAGAGAATCGGTTTGCTGATGTGCGGCCTGGACCGGCCCCAAATGAACTGAAGTATTTTGCGTTGGTGGATTTGAAAAGGTATAAGCTGGAATTGTCACTGGAAAGACTTGGAAGGCTTACAATAGTTTTGGAAGACATCTTTCTTGCGTTAATGCGTCTGAACCTAGAAACGGGAAAATGTTGCCAAGGCTCCAAGAGTGACGAAAGAGGACGCAAGAGAGGGATAATTAGTTTGGTAAAATCCATTGTAGTGGGGGGTTAAGGTGATACCAAGATAGGGCATTGTGTCTGACCAATTGAAAGCATAGGAGGAACGGAGGGAAGAAAGCGTATCTGGGGATAGAAAAAAAAAAAGACCAAGGATTTAGACTGGTTGACCCTGAGGCCTGAAAGAGTCGCAAATTCATCTCATCTAACTCTGCTAACAGATTTGGAAGGGTAGTATGGGGAGGTGTGATCATTAATAAAATGTCATCCGCGAACATAGAAAGTTTATGGTTATGTCCAGCAGGCTCCAGGCCTTTAATATCAGCAGTAGAGCAGATAGATTCTGCAATAAAAATAAATGGGGGACAATGGGCAACCTCGCCTAGTTCTTTATATGGGAAAAAGAGGAGATTCAAAACCATAATATTTCACCCTAGCTTGAGGAGAATTATAAAGAGCTGAGATCCAGGATAAAAAAAAAAGGTCTGAAGCCCTGATGTCGCAAAACATGTAGACGATAGGACCAAGGACCAGGATAACGTATACCACTTTGGAAATGTCTCATGAGAGCGTTTATGCACTTTATGTATCAATTGGATCACCTTATGAACCTCGTCTCCTGCCTGACATTTGGGGACAAATCCAACTTGGTATTTCTTAATTAAGGAAGGAAGGTATATAGTCGATTATCTAGGATTTTCGCCAAAAGTTTCATATCCACGTTTAATAACGAAATAGGTCTATAAATTTGACCAACTATGGGCGTTCTTTATTTCGTTTGGGAACCATAACTATAGCAGTCAACATGGAAGGTGGAGGCGAGTAAGACAGGGAGCCAACATGTCTGCAAATTTCCTGTAAAATAAAGCTGAAAAACCATCATCAGGTCCCGGTCGCTGACCAGATCGGAGGTTCTTATTGGCAGAGAGGACTTCAGACTGTCATCTTAGCCTCCATTAGATCCCTTTAGAAGATGAAAGATTAGGGAGATTAAGACGATTAATAAAAGTCAGGGTGGCGTGGTCGCTCTGTGAAGAATAGAATAGAGGTGAGCAAGGTGGTAGCGGAATTCTTCTAAAATTAGCTGAGTGATGCTCATGCGTACATTTCTCCTGGTCAATGAGGAAATAGAGGCATGTTTTGGAGCAAATGTGGGGAGGCGAATGGCTAGCATAGTGCAATTTATTGCCTTTGATATAATATTTTTTCAGTGTCCAACGTAAGGAGCGTTCAGATTTGTCAGTCAAACAAAGATCAAGTTCTGAGCTGAGTAATAGTCTTTTTGTTCTCAGTAGATGGGAGCCGTTGGCAAACATTGAAAACTTGTTTGAGTTCAAACTCCAACTGATGAATATGCCGAAGACAATCTTTCTTGCGTAGAGGCTATACAAATAATAAGGCCACAGTCACTTATTTGCCTCCTAAAGCATGAAAATTGACTACTGAGCCCTCATTAAGTTGAAAATATTTTAGGGTAATAGCCTTTTATACAAATGTCTGTAAAGGAAAGTAGGAAGTCATTAAAGAGTCCAAGATAAAGAGGAAGGAGGCTGCAAAATAGATTTACAAACAATAAGCAAAACGTCATGATCAGACCAGGCTACTGAGAGCATAGATACCGATTGTACCAAAGAAAGGAGCTTGCGAGGTAGAAAGGCACGATTGATTCAAGAAAGGAAGTTATGGGGATGGGAGTATTACGTATAGTCTTTAGTCAAAGGGTGAAATTCCTGCCAAAGATCTACTAAATCTAAGTGCGCAAGGGAGTCACAAAAGAGCTTACAATCGGGGGTGACAGGAAGGGATCTGGAGGAAGATCCATCCAGTTTTACATTCAAAACAGTATTAGAATCGCCACATAAGAGAGTGCCTTTCTGATGGTGGGAAAGAAGAGCGCAAATGTAGGAGAGAAAACAGCCAGGGTTAACATTTGGAGCATAAAAATTTAGACTCGTAAGACCCGTATCCTGTAAAGAACCCTAAAGAAGCAAGTGGGTCGGCAATCTGTTTCTTACAGACAAACGGAGAAGATTCGTGAATTACATTGGTGATACCCCTATGTTTAGAGAAGGTAGTAGCATGGAAAGCAATCAAGATATTTGGGTATGGTCAAAGAAGAAAAATGTGTTTCCTGAAGGCAAGCGATATGAATGCACAATTTCCTGATACACAGTATATTTTTCATAAATATAATTTTCATTTCTAGAATGTTGATGCTACTGTATTTATGTATTCATTCAGGAACCCTTGAAAAAATTGTCAGGCCTCAGGGAACCCCGCTAAAACATATTTTTTATCGTGTATGGTACATCCACATGATCAGTAAGCAGTAGAACGTTTTTATTAAAAGAAGAACATGGCATACTCAGAGTATTTGACACTCAGGGTGGATCATGTCACAACACTCCCCTGCTTTACACAAAATCATTTCCAGTGATAAATAAAATAAATCACAATGGTCCGAACAGAAATGCAGACAGTAAACAAAGTTATGTTCTCTTTCACTAGTGGTCACTGGAAACATTCACCTAAATTAGAGATCAGTGTAGGGGTCCCCTACCTTGGTAATCACTGGAGAAATGCCCCCATACACAAGTGGTTAGTGATTAATTGCTTTCTTATATTGGCAGTCAGTGGGCAAGTGCACCCTAACACTAGTGATTATTGTAGAAGTGACCCTTTACATTGTATGTAAACAGAAAATTGCCCACTTACATTGGTGGTCAGTGCAGTGATGAGATCAATCCACCAAAGCTCAATGGTCAAAGAACACCTGGTAAGCTGTGGAGGAACCCTGAAGTTCCCTAGAACCCTGATTTAGATGTAAGAAATCAAGTTTTGGGAAAGAGGTTTTGTGATTTATGGTTAACCACATGTCACTGAAAAGGACATAAAAAAAAAACCAGAGGATTTGTGAATGTCTGATGACATGAGAGATTTTAACAAAAAGGGAACCTGCATCAGTAGAGAACCTCCATGAAAATGGTGGCCCGAGATAAAGATAGAAAATTGCAAACTGAGTGAAGGTTCTTGTTACATATACACCTGAAAGTAATTTATATTGTTATCCATTGATACGATCCACATATAACACACACACACACACACACACACACACTTTCCAGGTTCCCCACCATGTTGGAAAACAAATGCAAGGTCAAATGTTAAATGTTATCATTGTTTATTTAGTCAGGTCTCAAGTTCAAGGCTAATCACTGTTTTTTAAAAGGCAACTTCTTTGCACATTTTTAATTGCTATGTGTTATCAGGTAAAAACCTGACTTATTTTTGGCGGGAATGCCGTTTTCTACACTGCACTAAATTTCTCAGAATATATGGTATGCAGCTGAGCAAATGCCAAAACAACTGGGTCATTTTCATCTTCGCACAATTCTTTCATGGATACACTGCAGGAAAAGGAGTAAATACAAATAGGTTCAGATATTATGATTTATACATTTTGGAAATGAAAAATACTAAAATCAGATCAATTAGATTTTTTATTTTAAAAAAAGTTTCACAACATTTATGACATTGTTTACTGGCTCAGGTGTGAATAGAAAAAGAGGGAACAGCTCCCTTGTAAAGATGAGACTGGGCTTGGTACAAACACAGTTTGATTGAGTTTGCCCAAGCCCGCTTTAAACTCTAGCCGCCACCCCCCTCCCTACTCAATCCGTGGCTGCAATTGCGGTGGGGGTTTCCCTGCCCCTTTGTGACATATAGATGTGGGACAGGGAATGTGCCTCCCAGCAACTGATCAAATCAGGAGGAAGGGGTGGATGTGGGGGTTTCGAGTGGGTTTGGGCGAACTGGGTTAGCACCAAGGCCAGGCTCATCACTTCTCCCTGGTAAACAGCTAAACTCCCAAATAGAAACATTGTTCATAGATGGCTTTATAGCCTGGAGTCTAACCATTAATATACAATGGCTTCATGTATTTTATGTTCATGTCAGCAGCACCACATGCTGGTAGAATCTGAAGTCATGATTCCTTCAGTTACATATTTCATAAGAAAGTTTTTTGCCTTCATCAAATGCTTGGTGGTATAATACTGTACACTTGTGTTTCCTTTATACAGTTTTCATTTAAAACCATCTTCACAAAAGATTCTCTCATGAAATTAAGCTTTTAAAAAAAATAAATATATATTTCCAATGTTATTCTCTGGTTGTGTGTGAAATACTGTTTAAATACTGCTCTATCGCACCTCATACAAGCGATCCATTGGCTCTATAGCCGGTGGATCGCTTGTATGTGAACAGGCATCGCGGCCTGTTTCTACATTTTGACAGTTTCCTGCACGCACACTTTGTGGCGTGCACGAATGGACGGGGCTAACAGGCTGTCTTTAGACGGCCTGTGACATCCAGAAAGCTTCCGGCCGACTATTTTAGGGATGCACCGATACCACTTTTTTAAGACCGAGTACCGATACTTTTGATCAAGTACTCGCCGATACCAATTACCGATACTTTTTCTTAAAGGACCAGGTCACATTTTTTCTAAAGCAATACAAACTAATGATTTTAGGTCAGTTTCTTAATATTATCATTCATGAGATGACTAGGGAGCATGACGCCGGCTTCGCGGCCAATCAGAATGCAGGGCGCTACGTCATTACACGGCACCCACCTTCCGGATTGGCTAGCTTTCTGACCAATCGGGAAGCCGGGCAGCGCGTCATTACACGCTACCCGGCTTCCTGATTTGCCGGGAAGTCGGCTCCATGCTCTCTCATCACAAGTGACGAGAGAGCATGGAGCAGTTTCCCGGCCAGTAAGGAAACCGGGCAGCAGGTAATGATGCGCTGCCCGGCTTCCTGATACAGGAAGTACTTGTGCTAGGTATCGGAGCATTTGGGCAAGTACGAGTACTCACCCAAATACTCGGTATCTGCACCGATACCGATACTAGTATCGGTGCATCCCTAGTTTAATTACAACGGCCGGCAAGTGGTTAAAGTCTATAAGGGGCCAAAAGCATGCGATTCTCCTAAACAAAAAAACCCCAATGTACTTTTTCACATAAGAAGCCACACAATAGGCAACATTTAGAGTTATCGCACAGGTGTGAATAGGGGCTTAAAGTGAACCTGTGACCAGACTATGCACACTAGAGTATTTACATATTCTACAAGTAGTAAAAGTACTTTAAAAAAAAAAAAAAGTCTCATTTACATCTGTAACTACAGGCATTGCAGAGAAATTGTCAAAGTTCACAACACAGGCACTGAAATGGTTATAAACCAAGAGAAACATGACTTTAGAGTCTTTGTTGTGATCATGGAGGAATTTTGAGAATAAATAACACATTAAAAGCAGCTAGAGAAGTCAGGGATGGTTTGTTTTAAAGTACTTTTACTGCTTGTTATATGCAAATACTTTAAATACCCACAGTCTGGGCACAGGTGCACTTTAAATGTAAATAAATATACATATTACATAAGAAATACAAAAATTATACAAAATACCTAACCATGTTAAAAATACATTAATAAATCCCAAAAGCATTATAGCTTTCCTTTAACACAATATAAATAATTCCTTACCTAATGGATGCAATGGTATGCGTGAAATCTTTCAGCTTGTCATATGCATCACCCTTGTCAAGCCTACAAAATACAAAGCACAGTTTTCATTTTCTCCTTAGTAAATCGGTAAAAATGTTGCTAAAGTAAAACTGAGCAGAACCTAGACACAATATGCATGATATACATTGCTAACGTCAGCAGATAAGAATGTATAGAAGCCAGTGCTATGACATGCTTAGGAGAGAGCAGGATTTGTCAAGCATGGCATAGGTTGAAATGGAGGACTCATATCTCTAATATTAGAACCAATGTAAGTGACTTATAAGGCATGACTTGCAAAACCTAAGCCCCAAAACATTCAACACAATTAGGTCAACAGCCAACTAGGGAGGCCTGTTTGTATGCATGCATTGGTCATATGTAATAAAGCTAAAAGACTTTAGTTCCAGATTGTTGCCGGCTCCTATTCTAATTGGTCGCCTTAAAAGGCATGTAAAGCCCAAACTTTTTCTTTCAGTTTTGGATGGAGCTTAAAAAAGGTAAGCATCTTATTGGGTTTTTTTTCTGTTCTGTTTCCCTGCTGGGGAGATTTACCCTCTGGCAGGACTGAAAGGGAAAAATTATAAAATGCATGAAATTTTATATTTTAATTTTGTTCTACTTAACATTATTGCTATTAGAAGAATTTTGACAAGCCCATATGTGGTTGTATTGTGCAGGTGACAGGCACTCTTTACTAGACCCATGATATATCCCCTGCAGTCTTTTGCAGCCCTTCTACTCCTTTCCATAGCGGCAGTAAAAAGGTAGTTTTGTGATTCCCAGGCTCTAGAAGAAATTAGGCGAGACTGGGAAACACAGTGGTGGGGGGGGGAATAGGGGTGCACTTTTTAGTCCGTAGAACTAGATGTGTATTACGCCTAAGCATAACAAAGCCATACAACTAAAAATCAACAAACTGGCTCCTTTACATACCGCATGATGTTAACACTAACATGAGTTAGGATGTTCTATACTAATGACCGTAATTAAAGTGACAGTAAGCTCAGAAGTTATATCTTAAAAATGCATTCAAGTACCCCATTAACAAAAATTTAGCTTTTATTGTGTATGACCCAGCTGTAGATCCTCAAATCATCTCTGAATTGGTGCTGACACTGGCCTTCCTTCTGGGGGGGGGTATGCCTACTTTTGTTTCCCATGATCCCTGTGTTTTGTAAAGTAGCTACCACACTAAGCTCGCTCCTGTGATGAACTACAATCTGACGTTTACTTTACTCATTTGTATTCAGATTGTAGTCCATCACGGGCGTGAGCTTGGAGTGGTGGCTACTTTACAACACACACAGATAAAATGTGTTACCTGTCCCCACACAGGGACCATGGGGAACAAAAGTAGCCACCCTCCAGAAGGAAGGACAGTGTCAGCACCAATTCAGAGATGCTTTGAGGATCTACAGCCGAGTGATACACAAATAAGATACTTTTTTGTTAATAGTTAAGGTACTTGAATGCATTAAGATGTAACTCTTAGTTTAATGTCACTTTGAAGCATTTACATGAATAAAAAATAATATCTTACTGCATTTCTTAGTATCCTTAGCAACATTAATACATTTTACATTCAATATAGTCCTAGTCTTTTATCTACAATTTACATTTGCTGTGCATTTTAGGAAAGTACATACCCATTGTTAGTTTTAAGGGGTCCCAAGGAACCATGTTTGTAAAAATCCAAGGCATACGAGTTGAGAAAGATTTTTCTTCCACAAATGTCTTTAAAAGTAAGATGGTATAAAGGAATATACTTTTCAGGTATTTGAGCGGTTTGCAACATTAGCTGTGGAAAAATAACAAAAGTGATTTAGCGTTTTCACTCGTAGTTTTGTATAATCTAGTTAGAGAAGGCATAACGGTCAGAGTGGCTAATAAAAAAAGTATTAATTTTTGCTGGCTATGCAAAATCACTTGTTTAACTGCTTCCCGTCCTGCGGTCATTCATAAATAGCCGGACGGGAGCCTTCTAGATGTAAATGGGCGTTTTAAAACTTCCTTCCCCGCTCCCAGTGGGAAAACTGCCTAAAATGTAAACAGCGATGGCTGTTTAAGTACAAGCGTTCGTGTCTGTAGAGTAGCCCGATCACTTGTATTTTGTGCGGAACCCCCCCCAGGCCCTGGTCCCGAGCTCCGCTGTGCTCGGTGTGGGCTGGGACCGGCACAGCGGCTCTGTCACCGGAGATCAGTACACAATCTCCCTCCGGTCTCTTGATTCTTCTGTGAATGCAGAGAACGCTGAGGTCTCCTCCACCTCCTTCCCTGTCACCTCTGCCATGCCAACCCTGGTAGGGGCCCGGGCCCCTGACATGGGTATCTGCCATACCCCCCTGATGGCGGCCATGCTCCTGACTACCTTATACTCACTTTCCCCCGCTACTCCTCTTTATCAAATATTCAATGCATCCAACATGCATTGCATTGACCGCTATTGTTATGGATTGTTACTCTATATCTATCCGTTTTATAGTCTGCTTCCATGTGCCCTGCAGGAGGGAGGCTGTATAGAGATATGTGGAGGACACATGGAAGCCACTTCTCTGGATAGATCAATATTCACCCTAAGATACCTCAGCAGATAGTTTGCCTCCCATCCCTTGTAGAAGCATACCTGTGAAACACGCCGGGAGAAAATCAACGCATGCCACGGTGTAAGAATGATTTAATATTATATCCATATGAATGGACTCCATAACACAAAAATAAGTATCTAAATGTTTTAAGACATGAACAGTAATTTGTGGAGTGCAAATGTGGCAGAAGGGTAATCACGTATGCAAACAGTGATTTAATGTAATTTATGTATTTTAAATCATATGGAATAAACTGATGTTGGTTTTAACAAAAGCTTAAGTCTGATGCCTCATGTTGAAAAGCCTGTAATAGCAATAGCTCAAGCTGCAGTTTACATACATGTGCGAGTCAGAGCATTCACCCATGGCTTACTCAGGCTTTCGTCGAAAAACGACATACCTAAAAGGAAAGTATTTGTGCTGTGTTTTTATCTTTAGCTGTATCATAACTCTTTGTAATATATCACGTTTGTAATATAGGAAAAAAAGATATTAATCCGTTTAAAAGCTTATGTAAAAGAGAAATGTGCATTCAAAGCCATTAAAGCTTCCCTGTTGCATAGAGTTTTAGGTAAAACAAACCCTCTAATTCAGCGGTTCTCAACCTGTGGGTCGCGACCCCGTCGGGGGTCGCATGACGATTTGCCAGGGGTCGCCTAAAGACATCCCAAATCTCCCGGACACTCCTGCTATTGGATAGCGGTTCCCGGGCGCCCGGGAGAGAAACACTTTATCCCGGAAAGGTTAACTCGGCTCAATCGAGCAGAGTAAACCTTTCCCTGCTCTATACAATCGGAGCCGCTGGCCACCGTCAGAAAAAAAAAACCAGCATAGGAATGCATAGCTAGATTTCTATTGGCTATTTCACTTTGCAATAGCCAATAGAAAACTAGCTATTGCACCCGCCCACTCGATCAAGCCGAGTAAATCTTTCCGGGAGAAAGTGTTTCTCTCCCGGGTGGCCGAGAGCCGCTATTTAATAGCTATCTGTTGGTAGCAAAATTACAGCGATGAAGAGCAACGAAAATAATTTTACTGTTAGGGGTCGCCACACTTGGGCATTGTTATCAAAGGGTCACGGCACTAAAAACGTTGAGAACCGCTGCTCTAATTACTGTATGTTTTGCAAACATGTTATTTAGCGGCAGTGTAGTTGCAGTTTTAAGAGACCTTAAAAAAATTATTCTGACACTTACACTGCTAACGTTTGTCATTTTCATCAAGTCATGATCTGTATTTCCAGACAGACATGCAAATGGGGATATGCCACTTCTTCCTTCTGAGTTTGACATCAGATGATCCACCAGTCCTGAGTCCATGCACTCCTTGCCTGAAAAGCCTGATGGGATACATTGCATGATTGCATCAGTTCAATTCTTAATATACTTAAACAGGCACTTAAATAAATTGTTCTCTAAATGACATTTGCACAAACCTACACTTATTGCTAAGTACAACCAGCACCAACCTAATGTAAGAGATACAATAGCTATAAGGCTAGCAAAATCCAACCAGACATCAGCTTTTATATTGCAAGGCTGGTCCTCTGAAAGGTGCCTGTTCCTTTCAGTATGGCAATGCAAAAACATAATGTGCTGTGAAAGCCTTTCTATGAACTTCACTGTGCTAAGAAAAACTACCTAAAAGGAGAGATGCTACAACACATCTAAGAGACTGGGAGCCAGGGAGCACTTTGATCTGTTTAGAAATCACCTTTACCAACACTCTGCAAATTTCCCAAGCTTTGCTGACAATTTGTTCTTTAATAGAAAAAGATTAAAACATTTGTCCTATCGATAACAAGGAAAATATTATATTCTGTGACACTATTTTAACCTTGGCCAGCCTGAGATGGCAAATCATGTTGTAATGGCAAATCATTTTGTAAAGAAAATGGCTGTCTATGTAGACACTTGTGCTATGTGCTAAAACCTTTTTTTTAAAAAAAAAAAAAAAAAAAACTCCCTAATTGCTAATAACTCATGACACAATACATAACATGAGGATACAAGACCATGTGCCTTGAGTTATTAACAATTACGGAGCTTTTCTCCTCCCAAAGAGGCAGTGAATTCATTGCTTCCAGTAAAATTCTGAATCCCTAATCTGTTCATCATGCACGTAGGGAAGAAAAAAGAAAAACAAAGTATATGTACTGGTTAAAAAGATGTTTTATTGTTCTACATTTAGCAAGAGTATCTGGTGGCATCAAAGTAATGTAATTTAGCATGTCTTATTTACCATACTTGATCTACTACTTGTTTGCCTGAATCTTAAAAAGAGAGAAAGTGGAAGCTTTTTTACTAAGGATGCACTAATACCATTTTATTAAGACCAAGTACTGATACTTTTCCTCAAGTACTCGCTGATACCAATTACCAATACTTCTTTTAGTGTCCTGTGACAGTTTTTCTCAAACAATACAGACTAATGACTCCAAAGACATGCTGGAAAGCTAATTGGCTCCTGTCTGCGTTTGCCCGTGTATGTTTGCATGTGAAATAGGGAACTTAGATTTTAAGCTCCCTGGGGGGCAGGGACTAATGCAAATGTGCACTATGTAAAGCACTGCGTAAATTGTCTGTTCTATATAAATATCTGTAATAAATAAATACATTTTAGGACAGCAGTAGAGCACCAGGGTCCGGGCTCAAATGCGACCGCTGCAACCCTGGTAGTTCTACCACTGACTCCAAGCTGGGGGTTATAAATCTCAGCAATACATTATATAGCAATGCAGAATACCACCAGCTATAGAGGACTACAAATCCCAGCAATACATTAGACGACAACACAGAATAATATGAAGCTACATATTCTGTATTGCTCACCAGAACTGTGCAGGGTCTCAGGAGGCTGTGCGGTGTCTGACCAGGGCTGTGCACAGTCTCACCAGGGCTGCACGGTCTTACTAGGCCTGTGTGCAGGGTCTAAGCAGTACTGTGCGGTCTCATCAGGGCTGTGTCAGGTGTCTCAGTTGGCTGTGCGGGGTCTTCTGGGTGCGGGTGGCGGGAAATAGGAGGTGGAAGATGTGCGAGCTGGCGCTGTAAACAGCCGCCGTGTGGTCCCCAGAAGGCTGCTGCGAGGCCCTCAGCAAGCTCGGGACCTTACGGCAGCCAAAATGTATCGAAGCCTTTAAAGAGCCAGTATCAGCGTTTAGTATCAGGGCACTTTCACAAGTACTTGTGAAAATGCCCAGTATCAGCAACGATACTGGTATCTGCATGGGTGCATCATTACTTTTTTAACAATGAGAAAGTAATCACTTATTTGCTCCACATGGGAGTCAGGTAGGTACATTAGGGATAAATCTATATAGAAAACAGTGAAGCATCAGTGTAAAGAAATACAACTTACTTCTCTAATAAATATGTAAAACCAATATACGCCGTGCTTTTTTTGTTGTGGTAATAATCTGCTGGGTACTGTTGTGGTAATAATCTGCTGGGTACCTGTTGTGGCAATATTCTGCTGGGTACCTGTTGTGGCAATATTCTGCTGGGTACCTGTTGTGGCAATATTCTGCTGGGTACCTGTTGTGGCAATATTCTGCTGGGTACCTGTTGTAGTAATCTTGAAGTGATACAGCACCACCTTCACAGAATAATTGGCCATCCTGGGCCGTCTTGAAATACAATTAGGCCTTTTTAAAAAGGAGTTGCTGGAGGAAGAAGTAATAAGAATATTACTACTCACTTCATGTAGTATACTACATGAAGTGAGTAGCCAGATTCTGATTACTTTGTCCTTGAGCAGCTTAAACAGGCCTGTCCAGAATCCTGTTTCTATTTCAGGATGGCCCAGAACGGCCAATGTGATTTTCATATAGGAGGAGAAGATCCGCTGGGGATATCACAAGACTTCTCTGTAGCAAGCTTTCTATATTGTCGCAAGGTTTGTATGCTGGTTGTAGCAAGGCTTGTGTGTCGGCTGTAGCCCTCCTGTACTTACTAGTGGCTAGCCCTGCCCCTCAATTTTGCTTCTGTGTTTGGCTCCACCCCCAGCTAGCAGGGGGTGGGGCTTTCGGGGGTCACATTATTGGGCGGCTCATTCTAAAATGCCTGGGCCTATGTTTTGTCCCAGTACGGCCCTGAAGAGAACATTTAAGAAACTCGAGGCAATTTGAAAACTCCTAGAGCAAAAAAAATCCAATTTCTAAGCAACTCAAACTTAAGACTTAAAAGCATTCTTAATTTGGCTTATGCATGTGTCTCAGGGCTATCTACACAAGTCCTATGTTGACCATACACATGAACAATCGCGGATATATTTTAATCTATCCTGTCTGATTATCTCCCAGCCAATTTGATGGGTATTATTTCCTCCATATAAACGTTTACTGTGGATACCAGTATGTATGAACCGTTTGAAAAAATGTCACCAACACTCCAATGTGTTCATTTATTTAAGCCTGATGAAGGGACCCTGTGCGGCTCCGAAAGCACTTGTCTTCATTTGACATGTTCTTAATAAAATGAACACATTGAAAGGACTTTTGGCGTGCTGGTGACATTTCCTCAAACGATTCATGTAACGAGCGGCGCCATCCACAGCACCCTCCTCTGTTGGGATATCCAGTAAGGAGTGCAACAAGACCTTCATACACTATCAGTATTTATGGCCACCATCATTTTGAAAATCTAGTAGTATTTTTATCAAATATTATTATATGAATACCATAGCTAAAGAAGATCTAACATAACATACTGATTTGTGCGAGAGGTAGCTGGTATTCTTTGTCCATGTCTACCAGCTTGGAGGCTGTAAGAATGCAGTGACCAAAGATTGTCGCAACGTTCCTGTTATATTCCTTAACAGCATCAGCAAAGTCTTTAGGTAGCTCTTCTAGACAGACCTGTACACAAATATACATGTTAGTCAATGTATTACTTTATTTATTAGTGCTATAAAATATTACCATACAACAACAAAACACCAAAGGACACATGTAAACAATGCTTCCACTTGGTAATTACACCAAATTACTAGACACCATGTACAATTGTAGAAATATTCATATAACTACATTTTGCAGGCACATGGTGCTTCTGAGTAGTCAATATTACCTGTCCATATCATGTAATCTAATCTTTTTCATGTTTCATGGGTATTTAAGATTTTTTAAAACTATTTAACAAACACACCACATGAAAAAGATTACTGAATAACAAGCAGAATAGGCCTGCAATGAAGCAACAATTCCATATGTTACATTTTAAACATTAACAATGCTGGGGAACCACAGGTGACAGCAAAACACTCACATGAAAGGCACCCAAGAGTAAAAGGCACAAGATCGAAGCTGACAGTTAGCAAACAACACATTTCTGTAAGATCCAGTTAAAAGGTTTAGTAGCACAGCTACAAGTGGCAGCAGCCTGCCCTCAGCAAGCACCTGCAGGGTTAAAGCACCACCAGCAAGCTAATGGATGTTTTTAGGCAAATACCTGCAAGACTTAGCTAAGGCATTAGCAGCACCGCAGAATCACATATGTAAGGTTTTAGGTACACATGGAAAACTGAATGGATCTACAGACATAACAGATATTCAGAAAGATTGAGCCAGAGCAAAGCAGCACTGCAAAGCCATAGAAAAATAGTAGCACATGCATTTCTTAAACAAACTCATTGAAAGAAAATGGAGTGGATCCTACTTGTTGTCTTGTCCATGCATGTGATCATTGCAGTACAACCATAGTTTGTGATGATGCAGTCATGGTTCTTCTCTGGAGTCACAAGACCAGGAGGCTAAGCAAGTGTTCAACCGACACAATGATGGAGGAAGCATCCCAACAAGGAGAGCCCAAGAGACCATTTCCTGCACCCCAACTCCAAGGCTATGGGGGAGGCTTCCCTTATAAGCTTGCATTTAGCCACCTGAACAAATGGAACTTCATAACAGGAGAGGCTGAACCTGTGCGGCAGGCCAGAAGAAACCGGCAAGGTGAGGGCAAAATTCAAACATATTCTTAGTATAACCGGCTTGAGCAGTGAGGACAGAAAAAAGAATGGCTGCCTTGGGAGGCGGGCTATTATTTATAGCATAACTGGTCCTGTGATGGGGGCGGAGCCATACCCATTGTATGCTGCCATGTAGGTGTCAGGAAAAAAGATTACATTTATATATATA